AAAATTGACACACGAATTCAACACGAAAATGAACCTTCGCAAGGTCCTTCGGCAATTTTTTGGCATGCCAAAGATTTTGCCACCGCTCACGAAGTTGCTGCCGGAGCCTGAGAAACTCCACCGGCGGTCATACGATAGCTTAAGATGCCCTCACGAATGGCCCAATGTTGCTACGATCACAGCCGAATTTGAACATTTCCTTTATCGTGTGTCCATCGGGTTGTTTTATTGCACAACAAAATCATGTAAACATATTATGTAAATAACCCAATTTGTGTTCTGTGAAACTAAAAAGGATATAATATATTATTTTGAAGGACAGTTGACAGGAAGTTGTTGTTGTTGTTGTTATGGAAACAACATTACGGAGAAAACGTAATATTTTCTACATATAACGACGGATAAAGTAAAGAACAACGTCTGAAGATATCAGTACAGTATCATAGTACTGTAACATAATTGTTTTTGGTACTTTCATTGCAGTTGTATGTCTTAAATGTAATGTAAATGTTGCCTTCGTGTGTGGTTCGGGGCCATCTTCGTGCGAAATTCACAATTCCATATTCATGTGTCCATCGGGTGTCAATTTCGGGACAGTGTGACAGGGGCTTTATACATCAATATGTGTCCCCGGTGCGTCGGTGAACTCACTTAGCGTCAGAAAATAAAACCCTCTCTCTTTTTCTCCATACCCAAATATTTTAAAAACGGGTGTACAACGAGCGGATACAGCTTTCCATCCGAACTGACGTGTCCATCCGAACTGACGTTGGCGGACCCACAGAAAGTTGCTATCAGAAACAATGCCTGACGTGTTTTGGACGTAATCTCGTCTTTGTTTACATTAGCAAGCCTCGCTAACACTCAGAGCTAACCTGTACTGAAGAGCACATGTGTTTAAAAAGCAGGAAATAAAAAAGGAACTCACCTTGTGATAAACCCGCAAGAGAAAAAGCATTTGAGCTCCATACTATTTCAGACATAATCCTTGACGTGGTTTATAACAGGATGGCGTTTTATCACAACTGAATTTAACTGTATCTCCGGTAGAATTCTGATCAGGCATTAGCTCCGCCTCCTCTTCTTTCTTTTTTTTTCAAGCTAAGGACCCAAAATCTGCGTTTCCCTAACAGGGCTTCAAAAGAGGGGTTTGAGCAGTATGAGGGATGGCTACAATGGGTGATCTGTTTGGTATTTTGAAAGAAAAACTTCACAGACATGTTTTGTATAGGTTTGGCCCTACAATATATTTTTCAAATATAGCATGATAGGTCCACTTTAAGCTCATAAACGGTCCACTATGTTGGAAGTCTTGCAGTTTCTGTCCAGTTTGAAAACATCTTGTGCATGCAGGATATTTAAAAGCCACAATTTCCTCTGAGGGAATTACACTGGTTTGGAAACACCATTATATATTTGATTTGCACCAGCAGATGAAGCATAGCACCTGAAATTAGAAGGGCCAGATATTTAAGAGACGGTGATGTGTTGTTAAAAATGAATAAAAGCGCACCATCTGCCCACAGCTGGTGCGGAAAAAGCCAATATGCCCGTTGGGATAGCAAGGAAAACCAATATTTAATTTCAGGCAGATGTGTTGAGCACAGGTTGTGTGTAATAGAAATAAAAGAAGCAGTTTCTGCCAAAAAGAGAGAAGTCTGAACAAAGAGCATGTTCAGGCACTACTTTGGCTTAACATTGTTCCAGGAGAGCACGCAGGATCGATGCTCCCTCACTGTTTGAACATCTGCAGTGGCAATTAATTACTGCTAAGGATCCTCTGTGGCCCCCCCACACACCGCAGCACTGCAGACCACCTCACACTCGAGCTTTTGTCTCAATAATTTTGTCTCCTATATGAAATCCAACCTCTATTATATTTAACCAATTATTTCCCTGGAACAAGTAGTGCTAAGGGAATCACAGGAAATCCTTATTAAACTAATTAACTCTTATACAGGAGTTATTATTTTTCCCATGCATGATGTATACCATTGTTTGTCTCAGAAAAATATCAATGCCAGGGTGTGTGTCATATTTGTGCTTGTGTACACACTTTGGGAACGTGACTATACGTCCAATACTGGAGGTTGTGTATTATTTAATCTATGGCCACAGGTTTGTTTTTGCCATTTTGTGACCGTGGAGAGTAGTCAGCGTTTCAGCAGAACTGCAGAGAGGCGGATGTGTGGAGGGCAGGCGGGGACATACAGAGCTGATGGCGGTGACAGTGGGTGAGGCGACAGGGGACACATTTTACATCGCCCCTGTTAACTGCCATTTGTATTCGTCTGGCTTACAGTGGGAAGTGATGGAAAATGCAGATAGACCCCCTGGAACAAGCTCCGCCGCAAACACCTTCCCCCCTGCCCATATAAAGATGAGTAATGTGTGCAACCAGTGGAGGAATATTTTATCCCCCCGGCCCGGGTGGCAGTGATGAATGTCCCGGGCCGACTCGCTGCACAGTCACAGCCCCGTAGACCCTCGGATAGCGAGAGGGGGGGGGGTTACTTAAAGCAGTTTGGTTTCTGTAGTTCTAAGTGCACTCCACACTGACAGGATCTGGACACAGTGCCCCAAGGCCAGCCTCTCCTTCCCCAGCGACAACACGCGGCTCTAAATCTGCAGGCCATCTCTCCGTTTTATCAAAGTGCCCCCCCCCCTCCCAAAGAGACGGGTAGTAACAGTCTATTTGCCTGTTTGCTTGATGGAGAGTCGGCGCAATAGTTGTGTCTGCGCCCACAGAGGCCTGCGGCGACCATCAGATGCGTATCAGAGACTATGACAACTTAATGGCGGAGCGCTTGTTTTATGTGCCTCTTCAAGGTTGTTCCCGCCCGCCCACTCTGCTCCAACAGGGTAATGTTGAGCTGAATGACAAACAAGAACCAGCTGGGCGTCCGGCCTCTGTAATCAGCTGGCCGGTGTTTAACCAGCGTCAAAGTGTCCGGGTCAGTCCAGGACGCAGACCCCAGCTCTTCCATCCTTACACCCGCCACCCCCCTCCTGCTTGGTTGAAGGATTAGCAACCCACTCAGAGAACAGCGGAGATTAATAACCTGTCACTGTGGGTTGTTTTCCACTCCTTGCCTCACTGTTTTCTTTTGCGGAGGAGGACAATGATACACTCCTCCCGCCCTTCGCCTCCCTGGTCCCGTTGCTCTCTGCCAGCCCCTCTGCATGTACAGTATGAAAGCAGCAATGATACTTAAACAACATCCTGCAGTGCACCTGGCCTACGTGGAGCACAACTCATAGAAATGACCATCGGAAATCTATTGAGTTTTAGTAACAGGAAGACCCATATACCCATGCAGATCAGAAAAACATGAGATGGTTGTCAAATCTTTCTGTTTTACCTTATGACTTCTTCCCTCTGGCTGGCTGTGATGAATGGTTTTGCAGCATGAAGAAATAAAAGCCGGTACTGATAAAGGAAGAGTAAGAGCCATTAAGGAGAGATGGGATTACCTGCACTATAACTGCTCACTCAATTCTGTACATCTACACAGCAGTTATTCATATATATTCTGGGCCCTTTTTGCTTTATTTGAGCATGGTTAAGCTACTTCCTGTTCTAATGTTTACCATAATGACAAATCCAGTCAAATACTGGCAGGGTTAGAGATTGTCGATCATTCCCCAAGCTCATTGGTTAGGGTTATCCAATCGCCTAACCCTACATGAAATTGGGAGGGAATAATTGCAAAAGGGCATGTTTTCAAATGTTGTCAACGTGTGATTTAATTTCACCATCCTGATTTTCTAGAGGTCCATTTCAATGTTTCAACCTGGTTTACACGCACTGTCTACTTTAAACATTAGATACAACACATTTTATAAGACGTACTATCACATGGAAATATCCCACTACAACACAAGACTGGACAGTTAACTGTCTGTATATATCGCTCTGGCTGGCCGGCTCCCCTCTCAGGTGGACATTTCCTCAGCAGATGCCCTCATCAAGGATGACATTTAGGGGACGTCCAACAGCCTGATGGGCAGGGCCGGGATAATGGCTTCTCTCAGCTGATGCTCCCAGGCAGCCCAAGCTAACTGTAGTGCATGAGAGACTCTGGGCCATGTGAGGACAGCAGCAGGGAGACTTTGGATTTTCTTAAAATAAATGTCAATTGATGCTGAAATGAGTTCCTGATGCTGATTTATTGTCAACCCCAGGATTTATATCTTCTCCTTCAATCTTCTGTCATGCAAAGGACCCACTCTTAATGCATAATCACCACCTACACATGTACTAATCACCCGGGCCTAATCACAACTGGAGAGCATCATCAACAAGGTATTCACCTGGCCTAATTGCAGCGTTCCCTACAAATTACAACGAGAACAAATGGAGCAGGCAGGAGGGGAGGAATAAGTAGAGAGCAGCCTTAGAAAGTCTTATCAATCTGCCAAGTATATCTCCAACACCATATATCCCTCTTAAATATGATCCCTGTGAAATGAAGAAAGGTCAAGCTATTTTCATCGTTGTGTAGACACTGAGGCTGTGTTTTGATAGCATCATCAATTATTAACGTCGTCAATGTTTCCTATGCAACTATATGCCTCCTGTGCTTCGTTTAAAACACTGTAGCCCGGGAGCAGTGGAAGATCTGTGCATCGCGTCTTTGTTCACTTCCCCATTGTGGATGTTTTTGCTTCAATGCATGGCTGTGTTGCAAAACATTGGAGAGACAAAATCCCCAATAAATCAGCCAGACTTATACACAGTAGTCCAGCCCATCGCTTCAGTTATTGACTAGTGCAGTGCCTGTTGCTGATGTGCTGACTAAGTCTATATAAAATACAACGAAAAATCTCCCACACAAAAGTATTTAGGGATCCTGTTTGACATGTATTGTGTTTATCAGCGGATATGTCATTGTTGTTGATGTATTTCATTGTAGGCTATTTTACTGCTTTACTGTGCGTTTATTCATCCACAGCACAAAAGATACCTATATGTCTTCATTTTCTCCTCGTCTTTGCAGATATCCACGATGAGAACGGCTTGAAGCCTGTCATGGTTTACATCCACGGGGGCTCCTACATGGAGGGGACCGGCAACATGATTGACGGCAGCATCCTGGCCAGCTACGGGAACGTCATCGTCATCACCATCAACTACCGGCTGGGAGTCCTGGGTGAGTCCACCAAGGGGGAGGAGCTTTAATGAGTTCGGAGGAGGCCGATTGAGTCAGAAAGCGACTTATTGATTCAATGACTAATTGGCTCCCACTGTTTGTGTGTGTGTGTGGTTTTCAATTGGCGTACATGCAGGGAGAACCCTTCTTAATCTGTTTTCCACTACATTTTGTATCTTTGATAGCTTGTATCATTCTCATAAAGCATGTGGGTGGTTGGGTTTTCTGCCTCCAGCTATATATGGGTTTTCTTTCTCGCGGTGCCAATCAGCTGCTCCTGGCCTTTTGCGAGATCATTTGTATTTTTCTACATTCTTCGCTTTATTTCAAATGCTTGTATTCAAATGTAGCCTCAAATGACTCCGAAAGCATAAACTAATCACATGCAAATTAGGTTTAGACTTACACTTTTAGACTTTCCAATTACTTTAATCATTGTGCAGCATCAAACAGCCTCGCAAATTCCACGCTGGCAAAATGGATCTGTAGCGATGGAGCCGGTATCTGCGGCACAGCGCTGTGCCTCTTATTTAGCTCCCTCTGTAAGATGAAAGTGCTTTCTGGCTCACACAGGGATACTTTAGTATGGGTAGTGTAGTGTCTTCGGCCATCCTAAACTCAGAAATGTTGACAATCGCAATGATGCTCGAAATGTCCCTTATAGGCCTACGTCTGTTTCCGGTTATTTTTATTTTGAAATTCAGTTCCTGACGGACGCCAAAAAAGCCAGAGATTATGGAATTAAACCAATAAATAAAAGCAAGGATAATTGTGTGTTATTGGTGAGTAAATAACAGTGTGTTATTTTGAAAAGAATAACAAATGATTGACTATACACAAAATAGATTATTCTGGTTTCTGAAAATGCAGAACATTTAAACGGATTTCCAGTCAATGTTAGCACTATCACACATCAAAACTCCTTCTCAATCCTGGAGTTTGCCATGAGCTTGGGCCTTGTTGACTTTTCTCTTCTGGTATAATGAATAGTTTTGTGTGATTTGGAAACCTTTCTCAAATATCCTCTAGGCCAACAGGCCTCCTAGGAATGTAAACAGGCTCTTGCAGCACAGATGTTAGACCAGATTATTTAATCATAAATTGAATATAGATACCAAACATTAAGCTTTTACAACCTCCAAATTGTTACATCTAGAATGACTCAAACAAGCATTTCCTGATCTAATACCAAAACTATATCATGTTGAAAAAATGTGTGTGATCATACAAAACGCTTGAAGTTAAGAAAGGATAGGTGATGGTTAGAGAAAGTGCATTGATTGTCAGAAGGAAACAGGAGACATAGCACTGTGAGGGTGTGATTTGAAGTAGCTCTCATCCGTTTGTCCCTCTGTTCTTTTATAACAAAGTCACCGGACTCCATTCTCAGTCATAAATCTCACAGCCACTAGAGAGATTTGCCACATGAACATAAACAGATGCCATTTTTGGACCATTGGCTGGAACATCTCATGCTGCCATTTGTCTCAATTTAAGCACTGCTGCCATATTGCTGGAGCACGACTCCATAGACAATATGGAAAAGGCCTGTTGTTAATATCTAAAAACCGCGCTGCTTCTGAGGATATGAACCCTTATAAAGCACATCATTATCAGCCTACATGTATATGATCACAATCCTGATGTGGTCCATTGTTGAAGTGAAGCTACTCTACATCCGTATGCTTATTGCTGCTACCTTTACTGCACTCTGCTCGGCTTACCATTCGTTATGAGGCCAGGCTGTCTGCACCAGGCGCTATATTTAGTTGCCTGAGAGCCGGGGGGGGAAAGGTGTTCTGGAAAAGTGTGCACCGCAGAGAGGAGAAAGGAGATGAAGCGGGAGACAGAGGGACGGAGAGGAAGAATGCAGATGAGGACTCAGATAGGAACGGAGAGAACGTCAGAGTGACAGCGTAAAAAATGGCGATCTTGTCAGGCTGCAGATTTGGAAGTAAAATCGCGTTCGTCCACCCAACAAAGTGACAGAAAAAGAGTGTTCCGTCTCCACTAATTGACATACAGAAGATTCACCCTGTGTGCTGGTAATAAATTGTCGCAGTCACTGGAGGGAAGCCATCTGTGCGCGGAGAAGTGACAACACTTAAGCCTGTGAGCCAACACAGCGCCGAGCAAACTGAACCGGACTCACTGCTGCTGGTCGCTCCCTTTGGTGCCATTCTGCATAAAGCACTACTTTCAACTAAGAGTCTGTCCCTAGATTCTGTTTTGTTATCGAGTGGATAAAAGCAAAACAATGTGTACTAAATATGTATTACCTGCTCGCATTGTGGAGCCTCTCAGGTTGTATGTCCCTATTTTTCACAATGAGCTCATATGTTCAATCTGTTGCTGAGTTCTTTGTCTGTTGGGAAGGTGCTGAGGTCTGAGAGTGTGAAGCAGACATCTTGTGAGCTCTGCAGGCTTGCAGCTCCCAGATTGTGTGTCTGCAGGCAGATACATAGAAGAGGAGTGTGAGCGGAGTGAGAGAAGTCATCAGACACTCATCACCCTCAGACAGTACCCTCAGACACCCTGTCGGACAGCTGTCAGTGGCTGTATCACTTCCACTCTTTCCCTCAGCTCACTTTCAAAGGCACCACTGTCCACACAGTGAGAGTAACTTCATCTCAATGTGGAACGTCTAGTTTTCTTTGTATTTCAATGATCTGCAGCACCTTCAGCTGGATTTTGAAACCATGCTGATCCTTCCTTCTAGGACACGAGGAGGCTGCTGCTGGCCAAGGTGCTCTCTCACGGTGTTTGCTTTTCTCTCCACAACTAAGAAAATATTGTCCGTGCACACAGATCCATCACCAGAGGTGCCTCCCTGCCAGTGTGTATCGGAGCGCGCAAATCCCAGGGCGCAAACATTAGCATGACCTTTCAAGGACGACGTAAGACACCGAGGCAGTGGCGTGGAAATCGACAGGGCCAATAGGATCCCCCTCTTTGAGCAGACCGGCCCACTGGTTGCAGCCTCCACCATGCGGCAGGGCATCAGTGCGCACAGATTTCGGTTCCAGCATTAGAGGAACCAGGATGAGGCCTCGGATTATACTGAGTGCCATCTGGCTCCAGGAAGCTGTCACATGAGCCAGAGTGACGGTGAGCTCCATTATGCTGCCCCGCGATCTGTCAGATGGTACTCTCTATTTTCCCTCCGTCTAACCCCCCCCCACGATGGGTGCCTGATAATGGTGTTGCCCTCTATTTGTTGCAACCCAAAACAAAACAAATCTCTGCAACCCATCTGGCTTTCTAAGAGTTTGGATAGTGACACATCCACAGTCCTTCTTTCTGTGAACACATCAATGATCCATGGACATGTGCGTGTGTGTAAACAGTACATGTGTCTTAACCTTAACCTCATCCCCCCTGCCCTTCATTATCCGTGTTGTTGTTGCCCTTTTATGTTTCCTTTATTTCATTCTGCATCATTCTATTCTAGTCTGTTAGTGGCCTCTGTCGTCGCCCGAGGGCAGGCACTCATTTCCCAGCTGCCTCCTCTTCCTTCTTCTTCATGACTCCTGCGTCTCTGCAAGGACAGTCATGGCTGGGAGGGGGTCATTACCACTCCTAAATTCCTCCCCCCTGGCGGTGGAGTGACGTGGAGAGCAGGAGGGGAAATGTGCCGTCGCCAAAGCGGCCTCACGACGATCGCGTCCGCTCCGTGGTGAGTCAGACTCTGAGGTGATGCCTTCTGACATGACACAGAAAGGCAGAAGTTCGCAGCTGCAGCTCATAAACCTGCAAAACATGCAGCCACACGAGATGAGTGAGGATGGGGGGAGGAGGGAGAGGGGAGTCATCTGTCGCTTTGGCAAAACAACACGACAAATGGTGCTCTGTGTGTGCTTTGGACATGTGTGCCACTGCCCTGTCCAATCACAATGAGCCTCTCCTCCGCCTGCATGTGACAGCATGTCTCACATTGACTACAGAAATGGTTCAATATGACTGCAGAGAGATGAGGTCATTCTCACATCTGTGTGTTAAGTATGTACGGAGCTGGAGTCGGGACATGGTTAATGTAGGAGCCTCAATGCTTATTTATCCTGTGTTTAATATTTAATTATTGTAATTTTTTGTTTAGAATCCATGGATTGTACTGAGATATTATCACTTCGGACAATTGTCAACTGGGTGTGGTTTCAGAGTTCTTACTCCAAAGTGGCCAAACTGGGGTACAACTGTTACGTTCTACTCCCTGAGAAAAACGCAGAGTTATTTTCCCTCTTCATTCATTTGACTGAGTTGAGAGCGAGTGATCAGGCTTCAGTAAAACTCAAGTGTGCACTCTCTATGGGTCCACATACAGGTACTTTCGGAGTCCACAGTTGCTCCACTTTTGGCTCCATGCTCCAGTGAGAGTTCCAGTTCTCTTAATACATCCGTGGTTAAAAGCCACAAAGCCTAATTTGGCTGCAGAATGTGTGGAGCTATCACGTCCCTTACCTCCATTGTTATTAGAACTTGTTTGGAAAGCTTGTCCCTTTAAACGTCTGCGTATTCACGTTTTCTTTGCCAAGTGAAAACAAATTGGAGGGATGGAAAAATATGGCTTCAAAACACTATGGAATGAGTCCGGAGCATTTATTAGCTTTTGGAGCAGCTTTCTATACAGACTGTCATGTACAGAATGCAACAGATGCACTGCAGGGATTTGAGGGGCAGATGGTTTTTCCCTCGGAGGACATGGACGTCCCCATCGGCTTGAACCTGCACATGGACACGGGTGGGCTGCGGCGGATAAAAGAAAAAAGAATGTCTGTGTTCCGGTCAGCGTCTGAGTTAATCTCGGTCTTGTTGATACCCTGTCGCTTACATTATCTCTGAGAAGTTGTAAGACCTTTCCTTTGAGTAAATGCCGTTTTAAGCAAAGGATAGTCAATATTATTGCCCGCCGCATATTAACTTTCAGCCATTACAGTTTCTGAGACGGCGTGCCTGCAATTGAAAAGCAGCGCAGCAGGTCTAGTGGATGATGAATAGCTCAA